ATATGTTCCTGTCTGAGACCTCTTTGCACTCTTTTTGAAATTGTTTATTTTCTCTCTCTCTCTCTGGGTGAGCGAAACAGTTACGAAGCATTAGTTTTCAGGTATTTTAACGGTTAGCAAGCCCAGCCGGTTAAAAGACATGATTTAAAGAGAGGTCACAGCGCCACTGTTTCTTGCACAAGATCCCAATGTCAAGGTGTAGGTGACTCCATCAAATAAAAGAAGTTGAAGCCTGAAGCCGTATTTTTAATTCCTGAAAAATAACCCTCTCTAATAGGGTGCAAAAATTGTAGGCTGGAAATAGCCGCGAAGAAGGTTACGGGTAACCAATCATTTTTACTTTGGGATTTGAGAGCTAGTTTGTAGTGCATGAGCTAATTTGTGCTTTTCTAAAGCTCAATTTGGGTGTCTTCAAAAGACTTGTATTATATCGTTCTAGACTGTGCATTCTGATGCATATGTAATCCACTAAGGGAATAGTATTTAGAGCAGAAGACAGGTATATTTTTTCTCTTTTAGGGGGTGGGGGTGGGGGGTCGGAGAACACTTTATGCGCGTATCAACTCTAGTTATACTGGTGTTGTAATGGTGAGGAATAAAAACCTTTGTTGTAAGAGTTGGAGGAATATTTTATTGGAATATGAAGTGCCCATAGCCTGACCCATTGCTCACACGGTTTACAATAAAGTTGGTTTTTTGTGAGCCGTAGCCATGATGATGCAAATTCTATGAGTCGAAATATATGTTGTCCACTGAGTCATTGCTAGACACTATGGCATTTGCACGCTTAATATAAAAGGCAAATTCCTGAATTGGTGACTAATAATTTACTTTCTATCTTACTCGTTTTTCTGCTAGAATTCTGTCTCCTACTTAGATTCATGTGGCTCTGGCATTTATGATCGAAGCATTCCACATCAGATATGACGTTATTCTTTGTCGAAGAGAGCGTAACACCTTTGTCATCAGATCAAGCTGTTATGTGCAGCAACTAAAGCTTCAGATTTAGACACTAAGAATACATTTTTTTTGAACGGATAAACGAATCAAAGTCTTGTATTTCGGGTATCTCGATGGAAGTGAACTTTTACTGTTTTGAAAAAAATCTTGGTTGATCTCCAGTCACAGACTCGTAAAATGAAAAAGATTCTTTGTATAAGAAGCAGAAAAAGCAGAAGACGAAGAAGAAGAAGAAGAAGAAGAAGAAGAAGAAGAAGAAGAAGAAGAAGAAGA